CATTTCAAATCTAAATTTTCACCGTGCAATGCCAGGTAACTCAGCTAGTAATTAATAAAGCCAAAAGTAAAATTATTTTATTAATTACAGCACCTTTATAAGATGGTCATGTGCGTGTGTTTTAGTAAAAGAACTTGTGCATGAGCATTGCCCTATAATAACAACAGAGCACTGTGTGGAAATGTTGCCATACCAGCATCAAGAATAAAAGACAAAGAATTGGAAAGGAAAATTAAAAATAAACTACAAATGAAATTGCACATATTAATTTTAAACATTTCATTGCACTATACATTGATGATAATAATTAGAGTTAGTGATATAGTACAGACAATGGAAAATAAAATATAAAAATTTACCTTAAAACTATTGATATTTATTTAGGAGGTTTTTAGAGATTACGCAAATGTAATGTGAAAACTGTAAGATAAGAAATAGTATTTTTATACTCAAAATGAAAATCACATTGCATGTGAACTATTCAAGAGTCTGAGTGCAAATAACTACATTAAATAACAAATGTTTTATTATAAATAGTAGAAAAAATCAAAAATAAATATCTTATTTTTCTGAAACTACATACTTTTAGGAGCTTTCGTGTCAAGTCAAATTTAAAACAATTTTATCCACTAGTTTCAGTTTTGTAAAGAAATTTCACAAGAGTTACGTGCCTACTTACAATGTAAGTAGGTCGTCATCATAGGGTTAATTAAATATCAAACTTTTTTTTTCTTCGGTATAACCTTGAATTTTATCTGTTGTTTTCTATACCTTAACTCTATATGGACTCAATCCATTTAACTGACCTTGTAACCACCATAAAGAAATAGAAAATAAATCTAAATTACCCTTTTTTTATTTCTAGAGTGACTGCAGGTTGTAACAGAAAATTACAATTGTTTATCTAAAACAGCTTAATGCTCATATCAATCTACATCTATTTATACTTATTATTTTAGTGTTTTATTGACCTTTGAACTGTGTTTAACTAATAATACCACCACACAAGTTGTAAATCACTCGGAGAATATGTACTGAGAAACTATTCTTTTTTCAATAAACAGTTCCACGTTTAATATATAAAAACATTACAGTTTATATCAGAAAATGTATGAATATTTTGAACTCATTTTGATGCAATCAAATGCATATGACTAAAGAATACAATCCAAACACTTTTCCTGCACATACTTCCCAGAAAATATTCATTTTTTTCTACATTATTTTCAATGATGTATGAATACTAAGATTAGACAAGCAGCCACCCTCAGGGTACAGTTTTTGGTAGTCTTCATAAAAGTTGGTTTCTGGCCATACTATGGGAGAGTTGCTGCTACTAACTCGATACAGTTTAAACTGTAGCATATGTCTTAAATTGTTACAGATATGACTTACCCTTGAAATTATACAGTAGTGGTGACTAAATGGGTTTCTTTTGTCAAAAGACACAAGAGAAAAGTGAAGAGCAAGTTTACAATTTCCTAAGAAATTTAATTCTATACCAAAATTTCAAGCCAATAGTTAGTGTTTCTGGGACTGAGTAAGATATTTATTAATAGTATTGATTGTATTAGTTAGTACAATGAATGTCATTACTTTTTATGTTAATTATTATGCTTTTATTATAAAGATTGTTTTACATTATTAGCTTAAATTATATATATTTAGGGCTAAACTAAATCTCTTAAGCTGGCCACACACAGATATTGCTGGGATAACAGCTGAAAATATTGTTCATATCAAGGGTACCCAAATGACAAAACCAAGCATTCTAATTTCTTATAAGTAGAAACATACATAAAGTATATTTAATCGGCCGTACTGATGGCCAGGTTGATTTTGACTTTGTTCTATGTACATAAGTCACCCTGGTTGAAGTTATTATTATACACTACTAAATATACTAACCATACACAATTAATGATGTTAATACTAGATATCTTATTATACCCTATAAAGAGCTATACTACACCATTTAAAAGTTAACATTTTCCTAAACTGAAAATGTATTTCCAATAATACTTACCTCTGCTGACACTATAGCTATTTCTCGATCTCCAGGGTTTCGACTCTTTGCCCATCTAAGCATTGAAACTGCTTGCTCCAGTCTTTATACCCTGCTTGAATGGCCTTTGCAAATACTAATTTGCAAATTTCTCCACCAACTTTAATGTACCCTTTATCTAGGTACTGTATATAAGCACCTCATTCAGATAAGGTAATCACTTTTTCGAGACATAAACCTGAGGAACAGTGCTCTGGAAATTGTGCAATAGGTGAACCAAGTTTCTTACATTTTGAAAAGCAAACCGACTTCACTTTTTTCAACCTGAAGATTGGCAGGGAAGGGCAGGATCCCCTTTAGCTTTACTCATGATAGTCCATAATAATAAGACAATACTATCTGGTAGGCACTTGGATGATCTTATGGAACATACCATTTCGATAGAGCCTGTTGCAACCTGTAGTAATTATAGTGAAAATGTTTGCTAGTATGGAATTGAAAAAAAAAAAACCTGCCTGGACAACACTTGCCACAGAGTGGGATCCAGTGAAAAATAAATCGACCCTGGAAATAAAAATTATATGATGGAGGAAAATAACTAATGAAAAACTAACAAATGTATAAAATAGCTACAGGGGTTAGTCAAAAACCCCGAGAAGATGAAACTGCCAGATCATGTAAGGAATGAGATAGGAAAGTATTGAGAGTAATCCACATACCAGACTGCACAATGTCTTCCAGAGGGAAATTCAACTGGGTGGCCCTTGACAGAGATATGACAAAACTGGTGAGATGTAACATACAAAGATTTCTCTCCTGTAACAATAATCCATTATAGACCATGTGAATGAACTTATGAAGCCACCTTCGTTATGGTAATGGAGGATAAGTAAAGAGAAAAATATAGATTCCAATGAAGGAACAAATGATTCCTACTACCTCAAAATGAGTTAGTACAATCTACATAACACTTGAGGGCCCTAACAGGACATAACAAAAAGTCAGGATTGGAGTAGTCATAAAGGTGAGGAATGGTTGGCAAATGGATTGGTGATAAGGATCTTTCCCCTTCCCTAGATGTCAGAGACTTGGACAGAAAAAACCTATTGGGGTAAAGCAGGACAAATGTGGAATGATGAAGAGTCCGAAGCACAGGAATTGCAAATAAGTTCAACCAATGACGTCCACAAACCAATAACAACAAATAATACAATTTGAGATAAAAGTGAAACAAAGAACACAAAACTAAGGGCTCAAAAGGAGGATGAAACAAAGCATGTATAACAACGGTAATTGGAAAGGCCATTTGGGTCAAAGAATATGAAGGGTTTCGAGTAGACCTGATAGTACTGAGGATTCAAAAACCCTTCCAATATTTGAAATACCTAAAAATACTGTATAAGAATGCCGTATATAAAGCAACTATAAGTGAAGCAAGACCACTTTCAAATACCGAAATCATAAAACAGGATAAGGTAGATACTTTAGGATGAAAAGGGTTGAAATTCCTTTTAAAACACCAGTGACAATTAGTATTCCATTTCCACTGATAAACAGCTGTGGTTTATCAGAGGTAGAGTAGGACATACCTGCATATACCGAATAAATGGAAACCACGTTTGAACTGGTTAATATAGTGCAACCAAGATAACTCAATGGGAAGTAGAGCAAATCATAATCAGAAACCAGGACCATTGCCGAATCAGGAGAAAAGGCATACAGATGTAAACCTGTCCAGTCCTGAATGAACACATCTACAGTCAATGTTTGAGGATGAGGTATTGGAGACCAAACTGAGAGCAAATCCACTGAAAAACCTTGTGATGTATCGTCCATTCTGTTGGAAGAATCTGGTTGGATCAAGACAAGTGATCTACAATTAAATTTATCACTCCTGGAACATTACATGCTAAAAACTGATATAATAAAAATAAGCCCAGTAGAGAAGATCCAAGGTACAAAAATAAGGTCTCGAGAATGTGTGCCTCTTTGATTAGAAATCTGAGATACCACCCTGGAATTGTCGGAATGTAACCTGACAATTTTTTTTTCTCCTTCAAGACAGACAGGCCTTGTACCATTGTCCAGTGCATTGCAAGGAGTTCGAGAACATTGATATGAAGGATAGACTCGACTTCCATCCAAATACCCTGGAACTCCTGACCTTGAAGATAAGGTCCCCATCCCTGAAAAGATGCGTCTGGGTACAGATGGATCTCGGGACAAGGTGGTGGAATGGGTACCCAAATAGTAGTGTTGTTCCAATCCAACCACCTTTTGCAATCGACGATGTTGCTCCTGAGTAATGAGACAGGACGATCCAAAGGATCAGAAAGCATGATTCATTGATCATGCAGTGATCACAGAAAATACCTCATATGAGCTCATCCCAAAGGAATGAGAGGCTCAAGGGATGCCCACATCCCCAACAGGGAGAGAACCATCTGTGTAGTAGGAGAAGGAGACATAAGTAAAAGCCTGATGGCTCTTTCCATGGTTTTAAGCCTGATAGTGGTTGGTTGAATACGACTTAAGAGTATTGAAAAACATACCCATATGGACGAGATATTACATTGATAACAATAGATTTCTCTAGTCTGATAAGGAAGCCCGCTTTTGTGGTTCGGAAAGGAGAATTTGAAAGTGTTGTTCTACTATTTAACAGGATGGTGCGAAAAGAATTCAGTCCTCCATATAATGATGTGTGTACAGGTCCAAGGAATGCAGATGATAACAAAAAGCTCAAACAGCTCTGCAGAAGACATAAGGTGCTGATGCAAGACCAAAAGGTAGAACTCTGAACTGCAGAATCTGACCCTTGTACATAAATCTGAGAAACCTCCGGGAATGATTCCGCTATGGAAATATGGAGATAAGTATCGGTAATATCAAACTTGATCATCCATGGCCCTCATAGGTTGAGAAAGGATTCCATAGTAAATCAAGAAGGATCTGAAATTAGTTGAGACAAATTGAAGATTTGATGCCAATCTCCTGTCTTTTTGAGTACCACAATTAAACAGGAATAAAATCCCAGAACAACAGGATCAACCCTCTACTACTGCCCTTTTGACTAACAGCTCTCTTATTGCTTGGGAACGAATCTCCAGTTGTCGTGAATATGATGGAGGCGACAAGGCAACAGGTTGTGCATATACAGGTGGAAGTGATGTAAATTGAGTGACCAACCCTGAATTCAGAACATGGAATACCCATGGATCCTAGGTGAAAGAGCTCCATATATCCAGAAAATGATGTAAACGTGGTCCCACTGCTGTGGTCCAAAATGGAGGGTCCATTCGTTGAGAATCAAACTATACCTCCTCCTAGCATTGACAAGCCAAAGCATGCTGTTCTGATAAACATGGGGGATAAGGCATATATATATCCCATCCCGTAACTGAACAGCAAATCTCACAGCATGAACAACAATATCAGGAGAAAGAGAAAAACCAAGTAGTCACTTGCCATCCTTACTATCAACAAGGAAGGGGTAGAGTCAAATGCAAAACTTCACAAACCTGAGTAACCAACTGAAGAAAAGAGGCTGGAGGTGGCTGATAAAAATTATCCTCTGTTGAGGCTGACCTAGTAAAAGAAGGAGCCGGAAAAAAACGAGTCTAAATTCTCCCCAGCTGGTCAGGATCATGTATAAAAGCCAGCTTAGAGCCCCCTGGAAAGGCACTCCTGGTCCGCATATATGTGTCCATCACACAACGATTCATATCACAGGCAGCCTCAACTGAGAGTGACCCCTCCCCTGGTCATTAACAAATACCAGATAACAGAAGTGGAAGAGGAGAGGTCTGAATGGCCTCCATAATAGAAACATTAACTCGAGAATTCGTACCTGTTTTATTATCATTAAAGTAATTCATAAACACACAAAGATATAACTGTAGTAACGCAAACCACATTCAAAGTCGCAACGTAAATTGTGAATAAACACAACACTCCTGTTTATAGGAACCCATGCTGAATGCTTTGTCAAGAAAAAGTGATTACCTTATCTGAATGAGGTTTTTATATACAGTACCTAGATAGAAGGTGCATTGTAGTTGGTGGAGAAATTTGCAAATGGAGTATAAGTGGAGCATAAAAGACTGGAGCAAGTGTTTTCAATGCTTAGATGGACAAAGAGTGGAAACCCCGGAGATCGAGAAATAGATATAGTGTCAGCAGAAGTAAGAATGTTTTGGAATCTCTGAACTTTCTGAATTATATATGTTTGCACAAAAATTTCTATCCCCAGAAAACAAAGCAAAATTAAATTAGTAACTCAGAGAAGTATACTTTTTTTATCTTGGAAATAAACTATATAAGCAGATTTAAGCTTTATAACAGTAATAAAATGACCTTGTAATATCTGGTTAGATATTCTACCATAGGGTACAGAGTGAAATAAAAAAATTACCCATATAAATAATATGAAACATATGTCTACAAGTTAACATACACTGCAAATAAACCATTTTTAGTGAAACAGATACAAGTGATGTTATTCAAATGTAGAAATTAAAAAGTACCACAGTTAATTTTTTGTGATGGCAGAAAAGATATTTTAAAACTTTTGATAGTGGATGCAAAATATAAGACAGATATCACACATTCAAACAGAACAGAACTAATGAAAGAAAACAGTAAACAAACAGTTTCAGTTTTATGCACCGACTCTACTTACATAGAGGTTTCGCATGTCAGCTACTTGACAGCGAAGGGTGTAAAATTCCTCCATTGTCTGACTGATGTGGGGACAATCCTGTGGAAACAAAACCACTATTAAAACTAATATGACTTTAGAATGGGTACAAATAAAGCTTTGTATCAAATTGATAAAAACAAATTAAGGTAATGAAGGGAATATAAAGTCAAATTTTGTTAAAATAATAATGTTAAAAATATTATAAGCCAAACTAACTAACAAAACAGAGAGACAAATAAAGCAACTGATATCATTCAACTTAGAAGTAAAGTGTTCCTTTCTTTGAATGGTGATATATATATATATAAAGAGAGAGAGAGAGAGAGAGAGAGATGTATTTAAATATAATGATGAATCATCATTACTCACAATGTTTCTTTCTTTTTCTACAACTAGTCCTATAATTGTAATTTCTTTAAAAGATTAAACCAAAGGGTAGTTAAAGAATGATTGTTAGTTGTACATTTAAATATATAAATTAGAACTAAATTTTAACAAACAAACTTCAAGATAAGTTTTCAAAGTGTTCCTCACAACAGAATTCCAAAAATATAGTATTTAGCAAAAATAAGTTCAAATAGCTTTTGAAAGCTACTACCAAAAACATTTTACTTTTAAAGTTACACCTTTTGCATTTTCCTGATAAATGGAATAACTTTTAGTTATCTTTTGTGTGTTTGTTACTGGCACAATAGTGAATTGCTTTTATTTGATAAATTTTTAATTTTATTTAGCTAAACGTTATAATTTTGCATTCTGATGTGAGGGGCAGTCTAAGAATTTGTCTTGATTTTATTTTTACACATTTGGTTTTGTTTTATATTTTTTATCATTGTTAAGTAGTGCTAAATTTTTACCTTTATATTCTTGAAGCAAGTAACATCATTTGACTATTCTTATAAAAGGCAAAAATCACTGGTAAAAATATGAAACACCTACCAGAGAAACAACATTGTTGGATATCTCGCCACAAAAAAGATTTCGGACAAGTTCTTTCTGTGAATTAAAAGATAAAAGAAACTGTGGGTGAATGTAAACTTTGGAAAACATACAAAACTGATAACAATGTCTACTTAATACTGACTTAAAATAGTAGTTTTATAAAACACACAAATCAAAAATGGTATATTTTATGAATGTCAAAATGTTTTGGTATTTATAAATTTATAACCATTATTCTACTGGCCTTTCCCAAGGGGTTTTGCCATCAGCTTCATAGCCTGAAAGTCAAATCTGATTTAACAGCCTGGTAATAGCTGTAAAGATATATAGGCTTGGTTTACTAGTCACAGCATAAGAAACAAACATGACATGAAGCCTTGCTACAGCTGAAATACCAGATTTTTATAATAGCATGTTGCAGCATACGATCTGTGATTCTGTTAGAGCTTGAGAGCAGATTTGACATAGTAGTTTCTCATTTCCTAAAAGCCAGAATTGGTGTAGTAGTCTTATCACACTCTGAAAGACAAATTTGGTCTCAAAACTTTGTCAAAGCCTGAGAGTAGTAAATTGAGAACAACATCAAGCTCAATAGCTTTGTCACAGCCAGAAAGCCATAAACTTGGAGATAATGTTTAGCAGTCACATCATAACCTAAGACATAAATCAAGTCTAGAAGCTCTGTCATAACCTGGGAGCCATAAAGTGACAACATGTCACAGCCAGAAAGCCATAAACTTGGAGATAATGTTTAGCAGTCACATCATAACCTAAGACATAAATCAAGTCTAGAAGCTCTGTCATAACCTGGGAGCCATAAAGTGACAACATGTCACAGCCTGAAAGCCAGATTTGGCCTTATAGCTTGTTGTGGTCCAAGAGCCAAATCTAATGAATAGTCTGAGAGCAAGAACTGGTTTAGAAGCTTCTCACAATATAAAGGCAAAACATGGCCAAGTAGTTATCATAGTTTAATCATCAAAAGTAGTGAGACATGTTTACTCTAGTAACAAACTATCACAGCTAATAAGAAGACTTTTAAGGTTAATGGTAAACTGACATAATCAGTTTTTAAATCTCCACTCACTCATATAAATATATATCAATAGCAACTGTTATTCAGAGAAAGTGGGGCAGAGTTCTGCTACATATATCTTCCCAGGTTTCATATAGAGATGTCAGCAATTTATTATTAATTCCAGTCAGCACGTCTAAAACAAAATATATAACTGCATTCATGTTTTGAAGGAATCATTTTAATTATAGCATGTAACTCTACTATCCATGAATGCCAGTTCATGCAAGTTAACAAACAAAAGCAATAGTGTGCTGGAAGGATATCAATCAACTTACCAATTGTGGTGTCATCTCTTCAAGTTTACTTATGAGGTCTGTAAAAAACTCAGCCATATCCTTCTGTTCCCCTGTGTTGAGAGGTTGATGGTCCATAGTGTAAACCTTACAGAATCCACGAGGGTTGTATGCTTTTCTTTCACTCTCCTGTCCAGTTGAATAATAACAATTTGAAACCTTTATTCAACATACCAATATATATTATAAGACTTCAGGGTGTACTGAAGATAATTAAAACATTGGAACTAAGAACAATATTGCATAAGTGATCGATCTTGAACCACATCAAAATCACGGGTAAGCAGTACAGTCTCTTTTTGCAAACAATTTTTTTTTGTACTCACAAATGTTTGTTTTGTTTTATAAATTACCATACAGAACATGTGGTGTGTAACTGCAATTTGTATAACACACACAGGCTCTATATGAACATTATACTGATATACTTCACACACCAATGTAGTATTTGCTGTACATACCAATTAACTTGCAGTACCTTCCACAAGTCGTCAAATGCAAATGCAGTAATGATGTCAAATCAATCATGGATTATTAAGATTTATAGTGAAAAAACCCAGTTCAACTTGCTAAATTTAAATCAGTGAAACAATCACAATGCTTCAGACTCCATAACCTGGATGAACAGTGATTGTGCATTCTCTTAAATGTTTTTTTTCTTTTATAATGATACTGTTTTTTTTCCATAAGCAATTTTGTTTAAAAGTAAAGAATCATTTAAAGCACTTACCATGAGATAAGCAAACATCCTCTGTAACTCCTTTAAGGTGTTCCCATGTTTGCTGTTATTACCAACCTAGGATGAGGAAGAATTATACAATTGTTCTAAAATTAAAGCATTGGTCTAAATAGGTGAAACACCATTAAGTATCCATTGGAAAAACACAAAGCTTAAAAGATTTCATAAATCCTAACAAAGCTTTACAAAAACCTTAAACACTCTGGCACTATGACTGGCCTTAGAAGGAATAATAGGTAGTTAAATATGATTATAGGCCACTGAGAAACCTTTCCTTACCCTGGCAGACAAGATAGAAGCTCTGGCTAATGGCATCATGTACAAATGTTGCATACATGATGCCATATAACAGGTAGCACCCAGATTAGTAAGTCCAACATACCCACAGTCAGAACGACCATCTTCATGAGGCCAGTAGTCCCAGGGGTACTGAGAATGTGAATCTAGAAGGAAACAATTACATGTACATAATCATTATCTACAAATCATAACATGTGCTGGTTTAGTGTTCAGTTCCAAAATATACAAAATTTATGTACTAAAAAAACAGAACATTTCCATCAAATCACGTATTATAGTGTCATTTCTCCAGTTACATCACATTCAATTATATTATATTCTCTAACATTTTTTATGCACCAATGTGAGGAAGGCTTTCCTACTAAGACCTCAAAACCTTTAAGATTCACTTTAATTAAATCTAATTTTTTTTTTAAAAAGGATAAAAAGCAAAAAAAATTAATACAAAAAATTCAGATCATGACACGATACGTTTAAATTTTAACCCTCTCTGGGTTAGTGACATTTTGTCACCCATGTTTGTTTTGTTTTTACAGTTAAAATGCTTAACCTAATTGCATGAAATATGGTACACACTTTCTATATAATACTTAGTTTGTGCTAGAAAAAATTTATAATATGGTTTAGTACTTGTGTCATATTTTATGTTATTTTTCAGAAATTTTATTCTGAAATGCTATATAAAAAAAAAACATGAAAAATACTTCCTTTCACCTTATTTTTCATTTTTTTAAACTGCATTCCTAAAATAATGTAAAGGTATCCAATACATTTAGTTTTTTCAATAGAACTATTATTGTAAAAAATATTTTCAATATTATGATTTGTTTGTTATCCAGAGGGAGCTGCAGGTTTTAATGAGGATGGTACTGTAGGCCTAAAAAGTTCTAATTCTATGTCAATTTTTTCTCATACATTCAAAGCTAGATTATAAATATGGGATAATTGTGAAGAGTGTAGAGTTTTTTCAAGAAAGTAATAGAGTGAATCAGTATGTTACATATTGTGGTTACTTTGTGCAAGTAAGTTGATTTGAATTTACATTAGTCCTAGATTATTAAAGAGGTGTGAATGTCATTTGTAATGTAGGTCTACAACAGTTTACAATTACAAGTGTTAAAGCTTGTTGAAACATTAAAGGATGAAATAAATTAATTAATTATAGTTTAAGTAGAGTATACTTTGAATTATTTTCACCAGTTAATTTTAAAAAACTTGCCAACAAAAGAACAAAAATATAACACTATAATTGTTGTGTCCGTTTAAATAAGCTCTTACAAATACTATTTATCAGAAAATTCCATTTTATATATCCAATCAGGACTAACTTTTATATTTTTCTAAATTACTTATATTTGTGATTTATCTTTACCTACTGTAGCCCTGAAAATGTCATAAAACACTGATGAACAGTAAAAGAATTGAGTTCTTGAAAAAGTTACTGATAGAAAAATCATGAGAAACAAAACCATGGGTAAGCCTATTTCTAATGTATACCAGGGTTTTGGTAAACATCACAAACCCATACTGTGGAATGGGCAGAAAAATTCTAAAAATGTGTCATGGCTTTGCTCACAAGCCATACACACAGTGGAACTGCAACACAAATCAAACTCTAAATATTTTAAGTTGTTCTTTGCAAAGATACAAAATATCAAATCTTAAATATTTGAGTACATATTATTACTTAAATTGTGATATTTGTCATGCAAGCATGTCCTCAACCCAAGAGAGATGCTCACCAACACTAATAAGATTAAGATGATGTAAACTTACAAGGAAATGCTTCTAGCAGAAATAATAAAACTTTGAATTTAAATTACAAAAAATTACATTTACAAAAGAGTTCAAAATCAATGGTGACTCTATGATTCATTTATATAAAAATGTTTAAGGAATTACATTCAGCCAATAGATAATTATAAACGTATATATGATAAAATTCACATTTTCTATTTGTTGTTTCTACTAAAGAGAAGAGAAAGCTCTGTTACATCATTTGTGAGCATTAAAAGATCTTGATGGTGAATAAAACATTCTAGGAAGAGATTTCATTGTCTAACAGTGATGTGTGAGTCAGGATTTTACAAAGATTTCCAATCAAACATCAGTCAGATACAATGAGTTAATCAATATACAGACCTCACAATTATAAACCTAAAAAAGAAAAAAATAAGACATACTTATGCTACAACACACTTTGCAATTGCTGAAACTATAACAAGAGATCTATTAACATCAACTTAAACATTTTGGCTTCACACCACTCCTTGAAAAAAAATGGTACAAAACACCATTTTGAGAAATTTCCATAAATCAGGTACAAAATATACTACTGGATTCAAACTGAATATGCTAACTGGACAGACCAAATAGCGTTGAAACAAGAAAATCTAGTTAATTTATCAAATCCTTAAAGCTTGTAATTTTTTTTTTAATGTACTACAATTGAGGTTTCACAGCGATCGTCAAATATCAAGTCCCACCTTCCATAAAAATCACTTACTGCAAGGTATGATCTAGCAGCATCCATCATGCCCATCTATGTTTAACATAATAAAACATTTAATAAAAAAACAATTATCATACCTGGAGTGTGTTGACTCATTAACTTGGAATGCAGAAGCCTGTAGTTCTCTTCATTACCTTTCACTAGTTCTACCAATAAATCAAAAGCTGCTGACCTCACTGGGTGAGATTTACACTTGGGCAAGTAACGTTTCTTTGGACTAGGAAGTGCAAAGAGACAGTCAAAAACTTGGAGAAGAAATTCCTGAGAAAGAAGGAACAGGAAAACTCACTAGGAAAATAAGTTAAAATGTAAAAAATTACTCCCCTCCACTCAAATTAACTAAAGCAAACAAATTTCATTCAAACACAAGTACAGCTACAGTGTGATAAAATCAGAAAATACAAATAGTTAGAGTAAATGTAATGGGTAGAGAAATGGAGGGAACATTTGATTAAAACCTTGACTACATACTTTTTTTCCCTTAACCACTTAACATAATGTTACATTAATTACATAATGGCAATAAAATAGTTACAATCATCATTTTCTATATACAACAAAATAATCCAATCAGGGAAGCTTCATACCCACATGTAGTTGACTGTAATAGCAGGTTTAAACAGTGAACACATCATAAATCATATAACTTGTGTACAAAACATTTACTATCTTTCTTTCCTTACCACTTTCATCAAGTATACAAAATGTACGATCTCAGAGTTAAGCAAAATTCAGGAATTTTGAACGTGTACAGAAAGGTGATCAAAGTTGTCTAAAATTGTTGTTTTGCAAAATAATAATAAACAATAGAAATTTATATTATATTTTTTGTACAGCATAATATTTCAAGATAAATTTGTTCTTTGAAATTTTGTAGGTAACAGCAGAAACACTGTTTATTTTTTTGGTTGAATATAACCCAAGAACTAGGAGTATTTTTTGTATATCTATAATTCTAACTAAAAGCAAAATTAACTTCTACTTAGATAACTATTCACTGTAGTAAACTATATGCAGTAACAATTAAAATATGAATTTTGATTACTTAGGTTTGAATATAAATAAAAGTTGGTCCAACAATATACTTTGGCATTTGAATATGTTTAACGTATATTTTTCAAATTGAGCTAATTTTTATTATTATGAAAAACTTTTGTCTTAGAAAATGTATTTTTCTTATTTTTATTGGTTTGAAACAAGTAGTGAAGTTCTTAAATTACCATAAAAAAACTCAGTGAAATTCAAAAGTTCATACGCAAAATTGTTTAGTTCTAACTTGAATCAACCTCTATGTAAGAACTTGGAGGGCAAAAAGATTAATTATTCACAATATTTTAACAATAAGTCAGCCCAGGTTTAACAGGATACCTGAAAAGAATTGTTACTTTCAATTTTTTAAATATAACCTTTTTAAACAGAAGTCATACATCCAAAGTTAAGATAATATACAAGTGTTTCTTATTCTTTTTAATACCAATCACGTACCTGACCCTCTTTAGAAAACTTGTATGAAGGATTATGTTTCATAACCACTGTTGCTAGAGTCAGAAGACCACCTAAACCATCATCTTCGATAGTATTGTGACGAGTCTCACGAAAGTCCCGACTAATGATAGCTTCGGCAAGGTAACGGATAAGACTGTCTAAGTCAACTGATGACCGCTAATATTAGGAGAGAAACATCATCCAATGTCAATGAAGCACAGCTTCTATCAAAAAATCACTTTGCTGCATGACATGACCTTTTACAGTGTTATATTGATGCATTAATAATTTAATTAAACAACTTCATTATGAATATATGTCAATAAGCTTGGCATGCTAGTATAGTTGATAATTGAAATTTTTATACTATTTAAAGTTTAATTTCTTAATTTCCTAAAACAAAAATATTTAAAAATTCTCTATCTTCATTTTCCTGTATCACATGACATGTCTGAGCTCTGAATTCTCATCAGCAGAGTTTTCTAATTTCAATAATATGCTTCTACAGTTTCCAACCAATTAGAATAAAAAACTATAGATAATTATAAGCAAGAATCTTAAATTTCAACTTCTACCTTCTTGATTTGCAAAGATATCAATTGCTTCCAAACCCACCAGGAAAGCTGTTAATTGTTTGTTCATAATTTGTCACTCTGAGCACTTAAGGAATTTTTTAACCTAATTATAGCTTGCTTAGAAAGCTGAATAAATTACAGTAGTTTTGAGACATTTTATTATACTGACTGATAAGTTTTTGTGTTCTAAAATACATATTTCAAAGCTACATTAATTCTTTTTTTGGACAATCAAAATTTGTGAGACTCAACTAGACTTACAAAATAACATCTTAAATTTTTACTCTAGTGCAAACAAGCACAATTACACACTAAGTACTACAAATCCTTGTTTTAAGTATATATTCTATTTATTGATTTTTTATATCAAAATTAACTAAAATGTAAAAATTACAAATTTCTCAACTTAAAGTCTTAGACGAATAAAACTTCAGAAAAATAAAACATCTAAAATTACATTAGCTTGCACATTAGTAATGGGATGCTTCACAATCAACTGTTTTTTTTATTAGTTCTATGGGAAACAGCTAGTAGGATCCTGAAAATAAAAATAAGATTTTCCTGAAAAGAAAATAAAAGATAAAATATAAAGCTTTACTGAAAAATTCATTTAAGACATTCTAGAGGCTATGCAAATGAAATATTTGTTTGTAATTAAGCACAAAGCTACACAATGGGCTATCTGTGCTCTGCAAACCATAGGTATCAAAACCCGGATTCTAGCGCTGTAAGTCCGCAGAGATACTGCTGTGCCACTGGGAGGCACAAATGAAATATAAAAATTGTAATATGAAAAAAGTATTTTTGTTCTTATCATGAAAAACACCTTTCACTCAGACTGACTTAGTAAAGGCTTCAGAAATTAACAGATAAATTTTTTTTGTGTGTAAGAACCGGCTTGTAATATTTACTAAACACTTGCAAAATTTCAAGAAGATAAAAGTAAACAGAGGGTTTTGAAGTTGTAAAAAAGGCTATTCACAAAACACTTATCATACCATAGTTTACATAGTAAAATATTTAATTTTTTTTATTAAATCACCATACCTGGTCCTGTGAACATTCTTGCAAACTTTCTTCATCAACACTGTCAACGAGACGACACACAAGCCAGAAATAGTCCTTGCAGCCAGGACCATAAGGTTCCTTATTCTCTTCATCCTAAAATACACATTTGGATCAGAGCTTTACTTAGTTTAATTAGATGTAATAAAGTCAAGCTTTCAATACAAACACTTATTTTCAATGTATACAGAAATACTTATTTACACATTAAGAACATACGGTCACCGTTGTCAAGCCTACTTAACCTTGTGTTTAACGGTGTGTAAAAATTATTAATTTTATTGTAATAAGTATATGACTAAAGAAAAGCATACACAATACAATTATGATTGTTCAAGTTTCTGACTGATCAAAAGTGCACTTTAAAAGTCTAATGAAAAACAGAATTTTTTCTTACTAAAAAATAAGTAAAATAAAAAGTTAGTCTAATATAACACAAATAAGTCAATAAAATTCCCCATTACCAGTGTCCTAGTACTAAGATAGCTGAATTTTTTTCAGACATAAAAGAATGTTTAACAGTAGATAATAATAACTGTAAATGAAGATTCATCTAGAACTAGTTTCTAAGCTTATAAATTACATCAGGCCTTGGAGGTCTCATATTCTGTGCTGCAGACAAAAAGCTCAAAAGACTGTTGAGAAGAGGAGGGATGTAGCTATGACCAGTTTTACCATCAACTGTGTTTCCTAAGCACAGGCGATAGAGGGCAGTACAAGCTTCCTGTCTCACAGCTGGCTATAAAACCAATAAGAAATTATAATAAAAAAAATTATAATCAAGAAAAATAATACAGCACACACACATTTAGTGAAGATAATTCCAAAAACTATTTTCATGTGGAAAAACAAAAAACAAAACAACGAATTAATAAAAGTGTCTTCTTCAAAATGGTGAACCTATATAAAATTGTTACAAAACACAAATAATACATTTTCCAATCATGATCAATTTTGCATAACTAAAGCTTTAAATATGATATACAGAAAAATGTTTATTTAATTTTCTGTAAAACAGAAACCAAAATTATCTCTATAATGGTTGAATTAGACACTACATGGGAGAAATATGACAAACTAAAGAAAAAAAGCTTTGTTGTTGCTGTAAGAAATGTCTTCTTTTAATACAAACACATTCCTCAACTCCAAAAACAACTACTGAAAGAACAAGAAGTTGTATTTCCTACATATGGAAACAGTGTTATCTTTGTCGAATAGTAAAAACCTTTAAAACATTAAATGCACAACTGCAAATCAAATTTCACAATTTTGGTAAACCAAATACAACTCTAAATTTATGTTAACAAATTTTTACTCCACCATATTAAAAAAATTCATATTTTACAATTATGTAACATTTAATTAAAATAATTCACTGAGAAAATTTTTTTATCTTTCATTTTTCCACAGCTCCAAGGAATCTTACCTATAAACAACACCTTAATTATTTTTTTTAGAATTTTCTTGACAATCCCAAAGTATAAGTTAATATTTCCCAATACATTGATTCATGTCTTGTTTTTTTAAGTGATTTTTACTTCATCATTGTTTTAGTCCAACAGCCTTTCATTACCACTCTTTAAATGATGTCACAGAATAAGGTCTGAACAACTGCTAATAAAGATTAGCTCTGAAAATAGTTATAGCCAATAACTATAGAAATACTGGATAGGTTAAAAATCTACCTATATAAATGTATAGTAAATAAAGTTGGTTGACCAATAATTTGTGGTTTCTCAAGATATTGGCTATCAAAGGTGACAGAGGTTATGTTTTCATTTTTGTGTATGTGTTTGGTTGTCAGCAAGATTTCTCAAACACAGCTGAATGGAGTTAGATAAAAGTTGGTATGCATTTGGATTATGACTCAACTTATAAGTAATTAGTTTTTGGAGGGTCAAGGTCATGAAAACCCCCAAAAAACCATATTTGTTAACATAAAGACCAATTTTTGCTCTATAACTCAAGACAAAAATGATCGGATTTGGATGAAATTTGATGAACATATGTAAAATATTATTCTTCATTCTCCTGCCAAAAATGGTCTGTGTCCATTGATAATAATGGACACACTTTCATATTTTTTGAGAGCCCAACATGATCAAAGCTGCATGACGGAGGTATGAGCTCTAATGAGTGCCCCTCCAGTTTACTGAATGTTAGTGTCATGTTTATCATATTCAAACACACACACATAACTTATCATTTACAGAAAACACACTATATTCATGAATATAAACTGATCTCAACCAGAAATACTGTTTAACAAAAATCATGATACCCAACCTGAAAAAAGCAAGAATGAGGCCATTTTGAAAGGCAAAGTTTGATTTATCAGTTTTTGCTTTGTAATTTATAGCCTGATGTTGCGACATTTGCAACTGGCAAAATAAAGTATCAATTAAAAAATACATTAGTGAAAATCAAGCATAGAACTTTCACAGTATATAAAATTGTAGAAATACTACATCAAATCATAAGAAATGTTTAAAGCATAAACTAGATAATATTTAATAAGTTTCATGTAATTAGGTTAAGTATTTTTACTGTGAGAATAAAAAAAAATCAAAGAATATTGCTGATGGAAAGAATTAAAATGGTACACTTTTGTAGTTCTCACCTCAGGATCATCTAACACCAGCCTTTTGAGTAGTGAATCTAATCGTGGGTGTTGAAACAGATACATCTTCAAAAGAGGTTCTGATAAAGCTAAAGACACCAACAAAGTCATGGTGCAGTGCACAACCTGTGACCGACCCCAGAATCCAGTCTTATACTGGTTAGGGTCAGAAGGTAATGTTGCTTCATAAAGTATGCTCATCAGCTTATTCAATACTGTTTCCACATCCCTGGTCATTTGTAACATTGTCTGTAAAAAGTTAGGAATAATTAAATCAATAAAAATTAACTAGATTTATTACATTTACAGTTTATTAAGGTAGCAAAGAAATTGCAACTTTTTATTTTTGCTATATTGGACAATACATTCTCAAAATTCACAAAAAATGAAAATGCAAGCATTTTTATACAAAAGCTTTAATAACACACATACATATGAATATACATGCACTGACACATACAATCAAATACACAAAAAACACTATATATTGCAAGTTTTTGATACAATTTCCATCATTTCTAATTGCACACATTAGTAGCAATACTACATTTCTTTTCTCTGTCTATCCATATGGTAGTACGAATTGTTAAAAAACGCCTTACTAGTGATATGTTGCAGATAAACCCTTTAGTTCAGATGGTAAAACATTTGTCTCATCAGAAAGATCTTGAGTTCAAAACCAATACCAGAAAGAAAAAAAGATTATTACAGAAAATAACATCCTCAGGCCTTATCTTAGTATACTGGATATCAATTTATTCTCATGTTATATAGATAAATGCAATAATACCCTCAATATTATATGAAAAACGTTACCTGATTTAATTTAGGAACCAGAAGTTTATCACTGCTACCCTTCCTACCCCGTTTGTTACGCTTCCGTGGTGTCTCCAAAACATCATGGCCTTCTTCCAGTTTCTGATCACTTTCTGAACCACTGATACCAAACAGGTATATCAAGTGAAGCAGAGAAGCAAGGCTATCTTGATACCACTGAAAAATAACTAAAAGCTATTACTCCAGATGATAGAACAACAAATTTAAGTCATTGTTTTGCCAGTACATAAACTATATTTCAAAGAAGAAATTTTTATGTAAGTGAAATTCCAAGATATTGGTAAAACCTGTTTGTTATTGATTTAAGAATGGTAAATTTTTAAAATTAATGTTATAATACTAAATTTATACAGCCCTGAATAACACATGTCCATGCTATAGGACTAATGTATTGTGTAATTTGGTGTTGACTTAGGCAGGTGTGATTGGCCCACAGTCCCTGATGACAGGCAATAATCCCCCCACCCATTACATTACTGATAGGCAACTTCTTTTAGTCGGAGGGTATTGAATAGCTGGAGTGGCTTGTCTGTTCCCCAGACTTCAGTGCTATAGAGCATATGTGGAATGCTTTAGAATGGTGAGATTCATCTCATAACATACTTCCCAAAACTCTTGGTGACCTTGCAATGGCCCTGTATCAAGAAATTCATGACAACCTAATCTGAAGAATGCCACATTGATGCAAAGCCATTATTAGTGCACATGGAAACCATATGTCATAATGACTTGATCTGGTAGGTTTCACATCCAAAATGTCTCACCAACATGTTATATAATACCAAATACATACAACAGACAAGGAAAAATGTGTAATCATGCAATTTGTAGTTGACATTGCCAAAATACACAAAACTTGCATGATCCCTTATTTGTTTTATCTGCATATATACAAAATTAAGCCTACAGAGCATGCTATCTACAAATAAGCCCTCCAAACATAAGTCAGCCATCTTACGAGCTCAAAAATCATGATGCTTTACATACAAGAGCTATGAAAAGAATTCACAAGCTTTGGAATGCTTTTAGTAAACATTACAAGTCTGTAGTACACAAAAAATCAGAATTGTTAATTGAGTATTTATAGTTAAAATCTGTCTATGAATTTCTGAAGCATTTACTAAGTCAATATGAGTGCAAGATAGCAACCATATTATGAATAAAATACTTCTTTTCACCTTTCAGTATTCATATTTCATTTGTATAACCTCTAGAACCTACTAAATGAATATCAAAGTTTTTAAGTAAAAGTTTATCTGTTATTTTCTCTATTCTAAAACTAATTGTAGCTAAATCATTGTACAGTAAAATGAAATTATAAAAATTCTAAAACAAAATTAACACTACCTTTCTTCATCTTTGAATGAATTATTTGTCACCACAAACTCAATTTCATTATCTTCAGATTCTCAACTGTTTGCCTTTTCACATATGTTTTATTTTCTAACTATGCTATTTAAGGTAAAACATTGTTAAGTGGTATGAGTATCAACTTACATACATTGTTAAATGGTATGAGTATCAACTTACATACATTGTTAAATGGTCATAGTATCAACTTACATATACCAATATGTATCTAAAGAAATCCTCTACCAGTCTTACATCTATTGGTGCCAATTTCAAAAGGACTTAAGTTTAAAGTAACATCTTTCTATTGGGTATAAACATGTATGTTAACTAATGGCACATATTGTTGAAAACTGTCTTGAAAGTTAAGTACTGATGAGCAGGGCTTCTGTTGTGGGTTGAGAAAATTGATTTATTTCTCATTACAGGGAGAAGTTACCACATTGAACCTACACATTTGAACTTGGAATTGTTTATAGATTGTGTCTAGAAGAAATCAGACATTGTAGTTGCTATAATATTGATGTGTCACATAGAAATGAAGACTGAGAATTTTATAATATATTCTTTCAAAATTAGTTAAAACTAAGGTAATCTGAAAATCTGATTTATAAACTATATCTAAATCTAACTTAGATTGATAACAAAGTTGTTGAATTAAATTTTGAATGTAACTAAAACTTTGTGACAGGCTCATATTTAGAGTGTCATAATATTATGAGCCAGGTTCATAATATTCTGTACATATTAAAAAAATATAGTTTTATGCAGTTTTTATACAGTTAATGTGTTGAAATAAAATAGCTAAATCTTTAATCAGTACACAAAATTACAGTTTTTACAATATACAACTTCTAAAGAATAACGCAGTTCTGAAAGTATAACAAAGTCACCAATGATTGGCAAAATGTTGATATACAAAAAAGTTCACTTCAAGAACTGACATAAAATAAAATATAAATACCATCATTTTCAAAACAATCATATCTTAATAAACTCAACTGAACTCCCATAACTATTTCTTAGAATGTGATGTTGATTTTATTTAGAATTTAGTCCAAACACACAGATGAATGTAGAAGTAACATTTAATGGTTTTTTTCTTCATAGCTACTAACTTTATAATGAATTTGAACTTCATCAAATGATACCTGCAAACTTCTGTACATTATCTTTTAGCCAAGGGTTTAAAACCTGAAAGATATAAAGCAGTTTCACCTCATTGAGGTCATGTACTTGGAGGTAACTTTTTAATTATACTTGAAGTTTTATAATGTGTACAATAATGAATATTTAGTGTGATATACCACTATAAAAAGTAATTTCTTTTAGTTATTTTTAAAAAGTTATGACTAATGAAATTGAAAGATCATAGTTAATAGATTTTTTTAAAATTTCTAATGGAATATTAAACATCTTTAAGTCAGAGGCATATTTAATAGGGCTTTTTGACTCAGGAACTGTCAAACCCCCAACTTAATGGAGACCAGGAAAGAGTAACTTCCTACAATACAATACAATACATTATTCTAGTACCAAAACGAAAAGGAAAGTCTCACCTCATTCCAATATTCACTTTCACCTTTTGATAGCAGAATTCTGGACATGAAAATGTCAAACAGATGTCTTAAGCCTCCATGTTCTATGAACTGTTGAGAATTGACAGAAACAAAAAAAGCAATTCACAAATGAAAAAACAATGTAATGATACATGAAAATAACATTAAAACATAAAAAAAGTAATTTAACACAGTGAAACTATTTAGACGATTGTGACAAAAGTCCAGGAAGATCATTGCATAAAGTTAAACTAATATAAAGAGTGGAAACAACAACTGCCTGAATAAATATACAGAGGACAATTTGATTTATTCTTTATTAAAAAGAAATACATACTTGTAATATTTCCAAAACAAAATACTGATGTTAACTAATACATTTGAAGACATTAACTAACTAAACACAACTTAATTCATCATTATCCGATTAAAAATCATTTCTTCTGCAAACTAAGAAATTTTTTGAACTTCCAAAAATTTAACTCATCTGCTTCAGTTTTTGTTGGAACAATTTTAAAACCTGTTGTTCTGTTGCTGGCTAGTGTTTCAAGAATCACGTATAATTTAACAAAAAGCTCCAGTAATGGAGTGGAAAGTTCTCCATAAAGAAATATTTTACTTTAAGATAAATATGAAAGTGGCAAGTTATAGTTTCATCCATCATGAGTCTGTAAGTTTCTCTAAGATACAGTTTAACACATTATTATGAATCTGAAAATTTTAATAAAATGGTCATTAAAACAAATCAAATGTAATAGTGTTTATAGGAGTTTTATTTGATTTTTTATTAAATGATACAAAAATGAGTTTATTCTATATAAAATGTGAAAAATATGTGATCAACATTCCACGATGAGTGAACCTAAAAGAGGAAAAGGAAGAAACAGAGAAATTGTTGATGAAATATTAAAGAATTAAAAAAAATAACAAAAGATAGAAGTGAGCTTATATGCATGTGCATGTGGTGTGTGTGTGTATGAAAGATCACAAAGAAGAAGTCCAGAAGACTGGGGCAGATATATTATGTACCAATGATTTTTTGACTACTAATCCCAACTTGACTTCATTAACAACAAAAACCTAATGCCACTCACTGATCCCAACTTACCTTCATTAAACACACAAATAAAATACCACTCATTGATCCCAACTTGTCTTCATTAACCATGACCTAAAGAAACTATGATGTGATATTCCCATAACTACAATTGACTCTTCCTTTGGTCAAAACATACCCCAAAACTATGAGATATAAAAAATAGGTGACACACATGTGCATCACATGGCGCTCATTAAATAATCTTAACTGCATTGCCAATGATGTTCACATACATCATGGTACAGATTTTAGTTGAATGAGCATATATGTCCATAAATGTTCTATCTGATATTATTTTGCATTATTAAAATTCTCCTAATCAAAACAAAAAGTTAATGGCACCTGGTATGGATATCAATCTCAGAGGTGGTACTGAATGTGTTAAGAAAACTTACCTCACTAAGAAAGTAGTAAAAAATAGTATGAAAAAGACTACCTTTTCAGGAGACAGGGACACAAGAGAAACTTATCTTACTAAGAAAGTAGTAAAAAATAGTCTGAAAAAGACTACCTTTTCAGGAGACAGGGACACAAGAGAAACTTATCTTACTAAGAAAGTAGTAAAAAATAGTTTGAAAAAGACTACCTTTTCAGGAGACAGGGACACAAGAGAAACTTATCTTACTAAGAAAGTAGTAAAAAATAGTCTGAAAAAGACTACCTTTTCAGGAGACAGGGACATACAGAAAACTTGTCTGAATGGGAAAATGGTTAAAGATATTTGCAAGAAAGAAGACTACCTTTTCAGGAGACAGGTGTGTATGCAGGAGGGGAGTGGTAAAATAAAGTTGTAAGAAGACTACTTCATAAGACAGGTACACACAGGATGCTTTTCTGAGGGAAGGGAGTGATAAAAGAAAGTTGTAAGAAGATTACCTTTATGGAAGACAGTGACACTAAGGAATCTTATCACAGCGGGAAAACGGTACAAGATAGTTGGAAGACTACCTATTCAGCAGACAGTAATGTCTGAGCAAGAAGGTGTTAAATTATAGGTTGAAGAAGACAAGACTCTCAGGAAACAATGCTCTTAGGGGAACTTGTCTGAGTGGAAAAGCAGTCACCTATACACCTAATTTTTGTGAATCAGCATTCAAGTAAAGGTATACCATCATGATATCCCTTTCAGTTATTTTCTGTAACTGGCTTTCAGTTTGAAAATATTGGTAAAGACAGAAGCCATATTGATACTCATAATATTAGTCTAGTTGTAATATTCTCTGTCAAATTCAAGGTTATTTAAAAATTGAAATAGCACAGCTAGTCAATGGCTTCCTGAGTATTGATAAAGTTGAATAAAAAAAATAAAAATAAATGGACCAATAGTGCAAAAAACAATTTAGAAACCTGAAACACACTACAAAACTTATTACCAACCTTGTCTGACCAAGACACTTTTTTCTTGCTTGATCCATCTCCACTTTCTTGTGATGTTGTTTCTGTAGATGTTACTGATCCATCAGAGTCCTGAAAAAACATATCAAACTTTGTATATTAACACATTTATTTCAGCATAGCTAAGGTGGGAGAGTGTATTATAAGATAAAAGATACTTTATTTCAATGGTGCTATAAGTTATAAAAACAAACCACTAAAGGATAATTTTTTGTTTTATGTTTTGTAGGCTGTAGAGATAACATCCATAACAATCTAAGCTGCCACAAGTACGCAGTAGGTACAGAATGGTACACATTAGTTTTATTATTGGACTAATAACGTTAGTGGCTTTCTATACAAGCATGCACAGATACACATATATAAACACATCTTTAATCATTCAAAGAGCAAATATATCAGGTAACACCACAGAGATCACAAACTATGACCTACAACATACTTTGACTTCCATGACTTGATAACACATAAGTAACAAGGTTCATATCATAAAGTTCAGACACTAACAAGTTCCTTGATTCTCCCAAGACTTTTATATAAACTTTGATTCTTCACTTCCTTCAGTTTAATTTTAAATACCAATTATTATATGGAACCCTTTAAGCCTTTTACAATGATAGAAGTCTCATGGTGTACTGCGATATTTCCAATGTGCGCTACTTAGTGCCGCTATGTTTTTAGGAGTAACTAGTGGATCAAAGCTACATTTGAAAATTCATAGTGATTGCAGGTAGCATTGCTTCATTTTTGTCTATGCAACATGCTACTCACTAAATGTTTAATAGGAAATATAAATTACATAGTCTTGTGTGTATGTGAACATATTTATATATATATATGTATAATTGTTATATTATATACATTGTTCCAGATTTAATTAGGCTCACCTATGCTACCAGACATATTCAGCTAATTCGATCTACAGCAAAGGCTGTTATATTTAATATTTATTGTTTATATATGTTCAGTTTAATTTAGTATTAATTTAGAAGGTTTAATATTTTTATTGTTATGTAAAAATTTAGTTTAGAACTACTGTTAAATGTTTTATTAAATTCCTGAGCTGTACAATTCTAGCAGAAACTTTTCTTGATTAACATGTTTCAACTGATAATACAAGATAATCATATGAAACAGCTAGTTTAGATTTCATGTCAGATAACTAGTTAAGAAAAATGCAGATATATATATATATATATATTATTATATATTATTAATGAAATAATAAATAATATATACTTATTATAACATATTATCGTATTATATAATTTTGAATATTGTATTTTGTATAATATATTGTATATAATTATATTTACACTACATTTTGCTACCAAAAAACAATCAAATGTGTTACATGATGCAGTTACTGTTGTGAACTTAAGTAATCTATTATTATTATTATTATTGTCATAATATTCATTTATTTTTTGACATGGTGTTCCTTAAGTAATATCACTGAGTGTATCAAAGGCTGTGTGGTTGTTAGCTGCTTTCTTCTCATCATTCACAAATATGGATAGGCTGTTCTGAGAAGTCTGTATTATGTTATTGTAGCAATAAAGTATTACCATTTACCAATAAATTTGCATTTTTATTCTTATATTATCTAATGACAAAAATTATCCCGAAAAACTTAAGTTTCAAAAGTAGCAGTAGCAATGAGCTGCTATATTTATAAATATGTAGCGACAACAGTATTGCCACTGTATTTTTCTTGCTGCAGCAGTAGCAATTGCAGCAGTCCAGTGAAGAGGTAACATGCAAAGCTATGGATATTTCATGTTCAATGAGGTATACTTGCCGTCTAACTCTTTCTTTACATCTTTAGAAGCCTTTAATTTAAATCAAGTAACTTGTACACCATTAAACCCATTTAAGTTCACAATCAGTAAAAACTTTCTTAAGTTTGAAATAATACCTATGTAAGTTAACAGTCACTATTTTCTTTCATATAAGTTCACACTTAGTAGACTTTCTAAACATCAAATAACTTGTACACCATCACAAACACATGTAAGTTCAATTTAATAAAATACCTTTTTAAACACCAAATAACTTATACACCATCATAAATATAATTTAACAGACTTTCTTATATATCAAATAAATTTTACACCATCACACCCATGTAAGTCACAATCAATAGACTTTCTACACTTACAGTAACAAATGTACCAAATAAAGCAAGCTGAGGATCAATTCAACATTCTACAATACAAATAAATAAAAATTACAAAGACAGAGGTTTTGATGCATCAATTTAGGTGAAAGATTGAGTCTTTGACTGTTAATTCTGTTCTTGTCAAAATTTGTTTTCAGCAATTTCTACATGGTTATTAACTTTAATACCAGATGACAGTGATTATTAGAATTGTTGCTTAGACATTCACTTTCTTAAAAAAAAGTTCTACATATAAACTAATTTGTATTATTTAGTACATTGTTACTGGAATGAAGGTTCCAGTAAGAAAGCTGAAAACTCACTATTGGAAGAAAATTATCTAACAGAGAGAAAAGTCCATGCATATTTTTTACATAATGAAAGGAAATGTTAATAACATATACTAAAACTAATCCTCTTTACAGTTCTCTAGATCCCCATCCTCATATTAAACAACTACAACCTTGAAACAGCAAAGATTCTATGAGCACTGAAAGTTAAGTATTAACTGTTAACAGTATGTGAAACATTTAACACATGCCTTTATAGGTCCCTGTCTCCGTAAGAACTCCACTATTTGGAGGGAATACATGAGTTTTTGTGGACTCTCAGGATTAAGTATTGACTGCAACAGTTCTGTGTAGCCATTCCCTTCTTCTCCTTCTTTTGCCTAAAATAAAGGATGATTTTTGCTTGTTTTGTAAGAATAATATCACATGTATTTTAAACTCTTGTACATCTACCAAATTACTGACATAACTTCAGATCATTATCATACAAAATATTTCTAAATTTAACTATACGAGCCCTAGAATTTAAGAGTAAAACACTAAATAGACTGTAGTACAACATTAACTCAATGTCTACGTTTAAGGGTTAAGGTGCACACATCAAAACATTTTACAGCTACATTCAAAATTTAACTAAACAACTTCACTATCCATTTATGTCAATAAACTTGTCATTTATATTATGTAACTTCTAATTTATTAATTTCAAAAAGGAAATATTTAAATAAATTCTCAATCTTCACTTTATGTATCATGTGACACTCGTTCACTTCGAATTGCCCACTTAAACATTCTTTCTACCCTTATATCAGCTTCTGAATTTTAATACAAATTACAGAGGCAGTACAGGTATTGCTGGAATATAATCTAATTTTATAGTGTCTAATCAGCTTGATTTACAGAAATATAAATCAGAAAGTCAAACCCACATTCCAAACTGTCCTACCACTCACTGTCTTTTAAGAAATGTCAATAAATCTCTGACATTTGTTATTACATTACTTATATAGAAAGAGAAGATTTTGATTTACTGAATTATATATAATGCTAGCTCATTCTGATGAAATCTTTTGAATTATTAAGTCTATAGATTCAAAGTTATTATTACCAAGTTCACGTTGAACATGGTAGGGGAATTATTTTCATACACTTATCTCAGTTAGAAAGCCAGTTGGATTATAATAATTAAAAGAGATTTGTACTCTTTTTGTGGCCTATTACTTTGTTTTAAACTGAATATTTTAAATAAAAATAAACATTTAGTAAAGTACTAATAAAACTCATATATAAGTACTAAATTTTTTATGCATATTTTTAATTTATTGTTATAAATGTAACAAAAATGTGAAAATTAGAGACTTATTAGATTAGATAAGAAAACACAAAAAGGAAATTTCTCAGTGAGGTATTCACAACTTGCATTATCTAATTAAAAGATTTTGATTACCATAACTTAAGCTATTCACTTACCAGGAGATTTATTGCTTTTTTTACTTAGGTTTAGTAGTAAGACACAGCTCAAAGAGCAACAAAACAATAAAAGTAAAGGAAAACATATAAACTGTTATGAGCCTGAGGCAGTTTAATGTAAATAATTGTGACTTTCTGTTACAATCTGCTGATATTCTAAAAAGAAAATGGGAAATTTAAATTTATTTCATTTTTTTTTTGTGGCAGTTAAAAGGTTAGTGAAATCAACCAAACCCATTTAGTGTTAGAGTGGAGAAAATGATACATACAATATGAAGTTTTACCTTAAAAAACTTTTGATATTTATTTAGGAGGTTCTAGAGGTTATGTAAATGAAAATTATAAGATGAAAATAGTATTTTTATTCTTAACATGGACTAGTTAATGTCTGAGTCAGACTTACTGAAGTAAATTTAGAGAAAAATCTTTATTGTAAATACTTTAATAAAAATTCTGATTTTTTGTGTACAACACATTTGTAACATTTAATAGAAGCTTATAAGATTTTTTGAGGACAAATTAAGTAAATTTGGTATTATTGAATTTAAAATAAACATTAATTTTCCACAACGGGCTTGGTCCAATGGACCAACAACATGCATGTAAGGTTAAAAGGAACACCTTCCTAGTATTCTGTACCTCAGTTTTTTGTTGCAAAGGAACATTTGACACCTTTTACAACTACTGTTTTGAAACATTACAATTCTTCTGAACATTAAAAGAATCTAAATGTAGTTAAAAATTTATTTTTTGACAGTCGTTTTTCACCATTATTTCTCTATTTGGTGCAAGTCTTATTTTTTCTGTATTTCATTATTAACCCTTTCCTGGCTTGGTTATTTTATATGGCATAGAAAATCTTGAAACTACTAAAACTCTGAAATTACTAATCCACAAAATTGGGCAAGCATTTAGTAAACATTAAGTTGTACACAGAAAAATATATAATTTTTAATAAAGTATTTATAGCAAAAATTTGAGTGTGGATTTCCAAAGACTTTACTGAGTCAGTCTGAGTGAAAGGTGATTGTGATGTAAAGAATAAAAATACTTCTTTTCATCTTACAGTTTTCATATTTCATTTGTATAACCTCTAGAACCTCCTAAATGAATATCAAAAGTTTTTGTTTTCAGGGTAAAACCTCATATTTTATCAATTATTTTTCTACTCTAAAACTAACTAGCTAAATCATCAATGTACAGTAAAATGAAATTTTGAAATAAAAAGAATTGTACCTTTTTTCTCTCTTTGTAGCCATCATTTTGGGGGATTTTTAAAATTTCTCTTACTCAAAATTTGAATTGTTTACCTTTTGAAATAAAGTTTCTTTTAATTGTGTGGTTTTTATTGTCCAACTTGTACAACATATAGTTTATTAATTTCCAAAGAGCAACACATCACAGTGGGAACATATTTCCATATTCATGTACATTGGACGTACTGCACATGTGAAATTCTGCATTTGAACATGTAGCTAGCTAACTTACCTTAGTTTTTTCCCCTAAGTTTGCTGTTGAAACAAAAATTCATGTACCTTTCAAGTATGCATTTTAAAACATAAATAATATATAAATCTCTAAAGCACAATATCTAAAAACAACTATAATTTAACTGGCTTTCTAACTAAGCTATAAATGGGTTAAAAATAATTTATGCTATGAGTTCAACTTTGTTTTCAACATACACATCAATCACTTCCTCTTCAATAACATTTATTGATGCCAAATTCATAAGGACAGCTGCAAACTTGAAATAGAAAATAACCTCTTTCTATTGGTTATAAATATATACATCAAATAAGAATACATGGTTTTTAAAACTGCCTTGAAATTTAAGGATAGATGGGTGTGACTTTTATCATGGATTGGAAAAACTTATATCTCAAGAAACAGGAAAGTTAGGATATTAAAACTGTGCATTTGACCTTGTAAGTGTTTACAGATTGTGTTTTACATTCTTTAGACAGTGTGGGTGCTACGTTATTGAAGTTATATAAACTAAAAGTAGGGAAACTGAGAGTGCTAGTTAATCACGTGACAACAACAGTGAAAATTGAGAATTTTTTTAAATATTTTCTTTTGAAATCAAAACTAGATAATATAAGAATTTGAAATATAAACTTCATTTTAATGCTAATTTTACTGACATGTACTGATAATAAAATTAATTAAATTCTGAATGTAAGTTTGGAAAATGTCATGACATACACAAAATAGCCAGGCCAGGGATTAAGAGAGATCATATTATAAACATATACCTATCAATTAAACACATACCTGTCCCACAGTCTTAAAACCTTCCAACATTGTTGGAGACGTTGGTAGCATTAATAAAATGTCCCATACTCGTCGAGATAAAACCTGAGCTTTTGTATGTGGTACAGTGTCCTATAATAAGAGAAAAATAAACACATGAAACATTAATATTGTGATTCTGAAAAACTTTCCAAATTCAATAAAATTATCTTTAATAACTAAATGTGAAAAAATTATGAATTTGCACAATGAAAATCCATGTCACTACAGCATTAAAACAGTGAAAACAGTTGATTCTATTAATAATAGCTGAAGTATTGTGTGAAACATTTACTCATGAAATAAAATTAAGACACATATAATAGACTCAGGAAATATTTAAAAAAAACACTGTTCTATGTATTCACATAATGCTGATATTTTAAACATTCCACTGCCATGAGCACAAGTATGTCTACCTGTACAGCAATAAAACATTTTGTGTCACCATGAAAAAGACAATATCCCTCCTTGAAACTTCAAAAACATTTCAGATAACTAATAAGTATTAAAACATGTCTTTTTGTTTTGTTTTTATTGTGTATCTTAAAACAAACCTGGCTCTGGAAGAGTTGTTTACCTATTAACTCTCTCGCTATGAGGTCAGTCAAATTGATCGCCCTTATAACCATTTTGTACTCATTATAGTTTTCATAGTATAACTTTTAATACACCTTGCATATCTTCACAAAATATGGCAGACTTTTGGTAAAACATTACATAGAAATTCAGATTTTTAACGAAGTATTTTTTACTAAATATTTCTCTATGAACATATTTAGTATTTCTATATACTAGTCCGAGTACTAAATAATTTCAATGTTAATATTAAAAATATTTTTCTTCATCTCAAAAATCTCTAAAACCTCCTAAATAAATTTCAAATGTTTTTTCAGTAAAACTTTATATTTTATCTGTTATTTTCTGTACCCTAACTTTATACAAGGTTGGTCAATTTGACTGACATCATAAAAAAAATCAAAATAAATCTAAAATATCCTTTTTTCTTTCTAGTGACTTCAAATTGTAATATAAAACAACAATTGTTTATCCTAAATAGCTTTAAATGTACATCTTTGAACCCTAACTACTATTCACATGATTATAAGTTGTAAATTTGGCAAACATGCAACTCACATTACACTATCAAATTACAATATGCACGAGCTACTCGTGAGTGTACCTGATTAAAAAAAATATATTATATCATTATTATTTCACTTAATCTAACCTTAACAAACATAAAAAGTTTTATATTTTTACATTTGTTACTTTTATAATAATAAATAAAGAATACTCATGAAAAACAAGAAAAAGTATTTATGTGGGCCTTCTTTTTTTTCTTCTGTTGACTGTCGATGAAATTTAACCCAACTTTTTTATATTAATGGTACCACTGCACTAAATATTTTTTTATTTAATTAAATAATGCATCATAGAGCAAAGAATAATAACGTGCAAAAAGCAGACAATGTCCCATAACTATCATAATTTTCTGGCTTTCTAACTATCCAACAAGAGCTGTTAAAATTTAAACTAAGGTTGTCAATGTGTTTCCTGAAGGAATCAAACTTGAACTGAATGTGAAATTGACAATTCTCCTTACAGAAAAGAATGTAATATAATACATCACTTGATAGATGAAAACCTTGGCTTTCTATTGGTTATAAATAATGTAATATTGAATGTAAGAGAAAACAATTGGCAATTTCTGAAAGAAGGGATGTGATAGGTGGGCATAGCAAGAAGGGTCTGGTTGTCTATTTCATGGCTCTGTAACCAAATAAGATTGAAAGCTATGAAAAGTATGCTTTGCCTGAGCAATGATGATATTATAATAAGTAAGTTTCATACTTACTAGGGGAGTGGTAAATAAATTAAAGTGATATCTAGAGAGTAAATGTCACAATTATCACACTATGAGAATTTTAGATTTTTTAAAAATATTGCCTTATAAAATCAAAAACTTACAATTTATATACTATTAAAGTATGGATTATTAGCTATGTTTTTAGGCTATATATATTGGTATACCATGAAACAAAAAGTAGTTTAATTAAAATTGTTCTTCCTTATTTTAGTTTTGGACATTTTCACATGACAAGCACCAATCTTTATATAAATATTATTATGCATTTTTAATTCAATCACACAAACTAAACCCTTTGTCTTTTAATTACTACACAGTTAGTACCAAGTTTAGTCCATGCAGTTAGTAACTGTTACTAAGTACAGAGTATGCCCTCCAAACTGCTAATTACTTGTACAGAAAATGAGTTTTTTGTTAGAAAATATATACTAACTCCAGCTCTATTGTAAGTTTTTAATGATCCTAATTGTTGCATCAGATTAAACAGCTGTTCAAAATACTCTGGTCTCAAAAGTAAAGTAATTGGAAGGCGATCCTGAGGAGGTGGAGGAAGAATGGAAGCAGGTTCAAGACCTTCACGACGTCGTATTGGCCGTGCTGCACCAACAGAAACGTATACCAGCTAGAAGAAAAAAGTAGTGAACAATGGAAAAAATTAATAATAAAAACAAGCTAATGCTTGTATTTATATATATATATATATATATATAAACAGATAGCAAAAACTTGTTCTAGTTATTGTGATTAATAGGTTTTTAGATAACTGCATTAAATTTTAAAGAAAATTCTTTTAAAATATTACATTTTTATGTACTAAAATAACTGAACATTGCAAAAAAGGTGAACTTGTTTATATCAGACTTCACTCATTTACCAAAATAAGGAACCATGAAAAAAAGTTTGATTAGACTCAACATTTTTTTCCAGCCCTTTAAATGTCATCAGCCCTAGTACTAAGATCCATGACTTCAATTCAAGAAGAAAAGAAAAAGGAAGGGGGGTTAAATCTGTTTAAAGTATTTTACAAAGTATTGCAGTGATGTCATTAAGAATCCAGATAAGTGGCTAATTGGTTGCTCATAGGTGACTCCTGCCATAGGAAGAAAACCCTTCTAGAGGGGTCTGGGGGCATGCTTTGAGTTAAGCTAATAACATAAGCTTGCTGTAGTATAACAGATGAACATGGTATTTAATTAATAGAGCAGAAATATTCTTATCTCACAATTTTTTACAAAATCCAAAATTAAAGAGACTTGGTCCTGTATGTTTTATCTTTATTTTTGAAGTTGAAGCAAAAAATTGGAGATCTTATATATGTCAGAGTGGTAAATATATGTTAAATATAATTTGCACTATCCTTCAGACTGTAAACATATTATATATAATATGTGCCATACAAGGTTCTAACCAGGATTTTTCAAAGCATGGTATTGGAAAAACAAAATTGTGAACAATTATGAAGATGATGAAAAAACAAGATCATTGATAACCAACAATTTTTCCTGTGATAAGCAATGGCAAACTGTCTGGTGCCACTTCTGAATGACATCACTGTATTGTTTATAACGTACTGAGATAATCATGATAATCTTTACTGACTGACTTTAATACGAAATCTCTTGTTTAAACTAAAAACACAGAACAAAAATCAAGTAATAAAAATAAAAAACTTCATTACTGTAAAGAATAATGTACATACTTGAAGGTCCTTAAAACCAAGTTCAGCTAACGTTTTTTCATCTAGGTCTGTGGTAAGTTCTTGACCCTGTGAGATCATCCTGATGGGGCCATCTGACAGCATAGATCCAAGAATGAGACTTGAAGTGACTGTACTTGTTGTGGCTTCAGATTCCTAAAAAAGAAATAAGTACAAAACCAACTGTAGGCGATACGTAGTGCGTGATGGTGAATTATCATAACATGTGAAACATAGTAGTAAAAAGTACAACTTTATTATAGGATAGAATCCACATAACTTAAAAGTATTTAATTTTGAATTTTACATACTACAAATGAGAAGTGAGAATTAAATTACTATCAACAAAGTAATGTCAGTATTTTGAGGTTTCCAGAGAAACATTTCAATATCAAACTTCTCCAAGTCTTAAGTGTAAACTACTGATATTGTATGTAAACAATTAGAAAAGCCTTTAAAATGATATTAATGAAGTTAAACATTCCACAATTTCTTCTTCTATCCTAATCTTTACTGTATTTTATAATGAGGTATATTTTTGAAGGGCAGTATTACCACATTTTATCATACTACAATCAAATATTCACACACACATACACTTTATAATTACTAGTAGGTATAAACAAAAAAATGGATATTTAAATATATAAAGGAATATCACTTTTAGCCAGGTGACTAATATTATTCTGAATGTGAAAATATCCCACGTATAACACATAGAAGCATGATACTACATTCTTTCAAAACCATTTATATCCTCATTTCCTCTGAAAGTGTCCGAGATCATCTCGCTTTGCAACTATTTTTTTACATGTTTTCTTAACAAATAAAGTCATATAAAATTTCTTCTATTAGACAGTCCTTGTCATAAATTTAGTTAGGCTGATGACAGCTGAAACATCTTGAAACTTCACTATTCAGATAATCATGGATTTCTTGTTTTTTTTAATATTCTTACATGAGCTTCATGTACAGCATATTAGAAGACACAAATTGAAACATTGACACTTGTACTTCACAAACATGATTTAAGTATGGATGACCAGTTGTTCAAACTCACCTTTGACTGGTTGGTTTTGTTTCTTGTTCTCATCTTCTCCCACCAGTAGGTTACTTCAGCCCTCAACTTGGCCAGGTAATCTGTGAATTGCATCTCCAGAGTTGTCTAAGATAAAGAAGTTTATAAATGTCTAGTTATCACAAACAATTACTTTAAAAATAAGCAAATGAAATAATAAAAAAAACTTGTCTGGAGTATCTGTAAATGAAGCACCTATTTGAGAATTATATCATTAATGGTAATAAATCAACATAATTTTGCTCATGTCTTTTCAGAGCTAAAACAATATATGCAGAAAAATTGCAAAAAATGTTCAGAAAAACCTGCAGTGATCAGTGCTAACCTGACTGAGATGAGGAATGATAATTTTTAGTTGTTTTATACTTTAAAATAATTTATATCAAAAAATATTATTTCTTATTAAAGAACCTTTATTATCGTGAGTGACATCAGACATACATAAAAACCTTAAGTAAATCTTATAATTGTAATTGGTTTATGTTTCTTAGTGATATTACAAGGTTACTAACTGATGAGAAGATAATTTAATATCAGAAATAGTAATGAAAAATAAAAACAAATATTAAATAATTAATTAAAACTCAAGAAAAAAGCAAGGTTAGTAATGTATTAACACTTTCTTAAATGGATTATTTGACTTTTATCTTTCTTATTACCTTTTCTGTCATTCCTGCAGGCTGGCATATGATCCGCAATGGAGATGCTCTTCTTTCACCCAAGCTTGATCGATGACTCACTACCCCTTGTCCCATCAACTGCCAACGTCGTAAATGGTAAGCATACCTTCAAAATCCACCAAAAAACAATATTAAAAACATAGCCTCTTGACAAACTACTGTCTCACTAATGACATAAAAAGATGGGAAAAGATAATTATAAATAAAATCCTGAAGAAATACCTAAAGTTGCTCTTAAATACAATTAAAAAACCGATTTTATTGTAATACACACACAAACTTTTCTCCATTATATTATTTCCTGCTCTAACAAAGAATGGTCAATTTAAGTATGAACTTGAAAAAGAAAAAGACATCACAAATATGAAATATAGTACATTGTTAGAGTAGAAACTAACACAATTAAATCTTACTTCAGGTAAAAACTTAAATTGCAAAAACAATTTTAAGTTATACTAGTATCTATTTTAAAGCTAAGGCATGGGATTAAACTTCATATATAGCACTATTTAAGAGGTATCGCTTTAAAATCAAATTCATTGGATCAATGCATTATTTCAAACTTCAACTCAAATTTCTTTATCTTTCAATATTATTTCAAGTCTTTTATTAAATTTATGAAATTAAATTAAGGATGCAAACAGCTTGGGCAAATAAATAATTTGAAAGTACTTACAAATCAATCTCCTTCTTGTATTAAGAATATTTCACTTCCTTTAACCCTTTCGCAATGGGCTTGGTATAAAATACACAAGTTCGTATAGACATTTGCACATGTTAAGTACTTATACTATAACTTTTAATGCAGTATGTATATCTTCATAAAATTTGATAGACTTTTAGTAAACACTACAAGTCTTTTGTACACAAGAAATTAAATTTTTTAATGAAGTATCTTTATAAAGATTTGTTTGTGAATACATCGAGTCTGTTTCATTACAAGTCTGAGTGCAAAGTGATTTTCATGTTATGATTAAAAAAACTATTCTTTGTCCCAAAAATCTCAAATATCATCCGTGTAATCTCTAAAACCTCCTAAATACTTTTCAAATGTTTGTTTTCAGTAAAACTTTATATTTTATCTACCCTAACTCTATACGGGGTTGGTCAATTTGACCAACCTCGTGACCACCAAAAATTAAAATCTAAGTAAATCTAAGTTACCCTTTTTTTTTCTAGAATGACTTCAAATTGTAACATGAACCTATATTCATTTATCTTAAGTAGCTTTATACTCATAACAGTATACATCTATTTCTACTACTCTGAGTCTTAGTTGCTTGCGTATATGCCTTGTAAAACATTTTTATTATATTATTATTATTTATTTTACCTAATCTAACCTTAAATAGCCTAAGATCCATATTTTTACATTTTAGTTACTTTTATAATTATACATAAAGAATAAACATGAAAAAGAAGAAATAAAGTACCTATCCTGGTCTTATTTTTTTTGCTGTTGACTGTCAATGAGACTTAACCCTACTTTTTTTATACTAATGGTAGTAATGCACTAAATAATTTTTATTTTATTAAATAATGCACCAAAGAACATAGAATAATAAGATGCAAAAAGCATACAATTTCTCCTATCACAATTTTTCTGGCTTTCTAATTATGCAAAAAAAAAACATTACAAATTCATCTGAGCTAGTCGTTATCTTTCCCATGGGAATGAAGCTTGTACTAACTGAGAAATTGACAATTCTCTGTTCAGAAAACAATGTAATATAATACATAATTTGATAGATGAATACTTTGGCTTTCTATTGGTTATACATAATAAAAATTTAATATAAGAGAGAAATATTAACAAATCCTAAAAGAGAGGATGTGACATGTGAGTGTGATAAGAGGGATCTGATTTTCTATTTGATGGCTCTGTAACCAAACAAAATTGAATACTATAAAATTATGGTTTGTCTGAGCAATGATTGTTTTATAATGAGTAATGTACATTAAAATTCATACTTATTGGAAAGGTAGTGAATAAAATGGAGAAGAGGGGATGCCTAAAGAAAATATGTCACAGTTCTCACACTAGGGGAAATTCAGGATTTTTTAAATATTGCCTTATAAAATTAAGAACTTAAAACTTATATATTATTAAAATATGGATTATTAGCTACAATTCTATGCTATACTAATTGGTATAACATATAAAAAAAGTTTAATTAAATTTTGAAAATAACTTGCTAAAAGACTGACATGCACAGTTAGACCCACCCATTGCGAAAGGGTTAACAACTAAGGTAAGCAATACTAGAATTGTTCAGTTACCTTTGATGAAAAACTTCCACATGAGTTTTCAGAAGAACTAGTGCCCTCTGTATGATCATCAAGCTCTTTTCTTCTGCCTGTTATAAAAACAAAGTGATGCTGAAAACCTCACTCTAATATTATGAACTAACAGAATTTGGTCATGATACAATCAGTCTTTCTAACGCTGTGTTTTATATCATGAATCATTTTCATCTATTTGGCTGCTACTGTATGTGAAAAATCAACTGTTAGATTATTTTAAATTGTGAAACACCATTTACAAAGAGATATCTAAATTTTACAATTTCAAATGACATTTGACTCCCCCCCTCCCCCAAAAAAAAAAATTTCAGGAACAGGAGCAACTTTATATATACACATATAAGTATAAAAATGCAAAGGTGATAAAATAACATAAATTAGAATTTTAGAGAAAAAATCACCTTTTTACCATAGTTTTTAAAGGTGATATTTTTCTCTAAAAGTCTAATTTAGATACATTATATAAGTACTTAATAGTGAGTAAATACCTTTGCAAACATAATTAAAACAAATTTCAACAGTTAATAATATCAGTCAATGAGGTCAAGTATGTTCTGTTTGTAAAAACTTCAATTTCTAATTGTAACATATTTCCAAAAAAGTTGTTAATTTGTAGTTTCATAAACAATTATATGACCTCCAGCTCATATAGTTAATCATATAACATACAAAAGTATTCTAAAAACTAGAATGTACGTTTCAAAATGTCAATGTGTAAGATAAAGGGAATTTTTTAAACACTATGAAAATTCTTAAAAGTTAAAAGTGGCATATCTTAGAATTTCTTAATACATTTTTGTTTAAACTAAAGATAGTTACTAACAATTTTGATTCCGTAAATTATTTCAAGCTTAACACAAATATAGTAATCCACAGAAGGCAGCAGTATGAATGTTTAGAATAAAGCTACTTACCTCACATACGCTTTGGATGGCTTAAACTTAATAACAAGTAAAGTACTCCACAGAATTCATGTTTAGGCCAAAGTTACTAACCTCACATAAGCTTTGGATGGCTTAAACCTGAACACGAGTATAGTACTCCACAGAATTTATGTTTAGGACAAAGATACTTACCTCACATATGCTTTGGATGGCTTAAACCTGATAACAAGTATAGTACTCCACAGAATTCATGTTTAGGACAAAGATACTTACCTCACATATGCTTTGGATGGCTTAAACCTGAACACGAGTATAGTACTCCACAGAATTCATGTTTAGGACAAAGATACTTACCTCACATATGCTTTGGATGGCTTAAACCTGATAACAAGTATAGTACTCCACAGAAGTCATGTTTAGGACAAAGATACTTACTCACATAATCTTTGGATGGCTTAAACCTGATAACAAGTATAGTACTCCACAGAATTCATGTTTA